CTCCTCACCTGCATCAAACACTTGAGGTCCCTTAAAGGGAGATCTCATTGTTAAAAGTTTCCAGTGTATCCTTCCAGAGCCATTTTGACACACACTGGCAAATATGTATACATAGTGACTATGTATACATAGTGTTGAAACTATGTTATCCTTCTACCTAAGTGCATAAAAAGCTTCTGTTTAACAGATACATAGTATCAGATTGTTTCCAGAGCCATTTTAGATACATATAAACAAATACCTATCTTGAAAAGCAGTCTCTGATTATGAACAGATACATACTATCACATTCTGTCAAGTTACCTTGATTTAAAATCAAAACACTGGGCTGGGAAGATTGCTCATGGGGTAAAAGCACTTGCTGTGTAAGCATGAGGATCTGAGTTCAAAGTCCCAGAACCACATAAAAGCCAGACTCATACCACGAGATGGGAGGCAGAGACAAGAGAAACCCTGGATGTTCACAGGCCATCTAGCCTAGAGTATGCAATGGAAAAACAAAGAAACCCTTCTCAAAGAGACAAGAAAGGACCCATACCTCAAGTTGTCCTGACTTACATGCACATGCCCATATTCACACACACACACGAATGCTCACATATACACACAACAAAGTATTTTTTAAAAATTATTTTTATTTTATGTGTATGACTGTATTGCCTGCATGTGTAAGTGCACTCATGTTGTGCAATGCCCACAGAAATCAGAAGGTATCAGATCCTCTGGAACTGGAGTTACAAATGGTTGTGAACTGCCATGTGGGTGCTGGGAATTGAACCCAGTTCCTCTGCAAGAGCAGTCAGTGCTCTTAACCACTGAGTCATCTCTCCAGCTCCACAAAAATATTTCTTACTAACATGCAGGTGGTCACCTCTATTTTCTTTTACCATCAAAGGTACTACAATATACAGATAATTTAACACTTGTTAGTACACTTGTAGAATAAACTAGACAGGAAATTACAGAATTAACATGCAGGGCTAAATATGCCAAGACCATTTCCAGAGGCTGAATCTCTTTACTCCCACTAGCAATCCATGAAAACACTTACTTCTTTACTACCCCCTAAAAGGATTTTCTTTCCTAAGGTTCTCACGTGGAGAGCAGGGAAACTCTTTAAGCATAACCTGGTCTAACTGGTCTAACTCAAAAAGGTTCCCTCCCTCCCTCCCCTGTTCTAGCTTATTTATGCAGAAAGATCTGAGGCTGTCCCTTCTCCTCCCTAGGTAGGATGGTACTGGGCTACTCAGGCTGATCTGACACAAACACTGTTTTAAAACCAGATAGCTTAATTAGCTTTTAGGATCATCTCTACTTGGCCTGAAAGTGGGAGACTCACTACTCCTGCAAATACTCACTGAGCATCTACCCTGCATCAAGCAATGCTCCAGTGGCTGAGCCTTGGAGAATGAACAAATGAAAGTCTTTCTTTCCATTCACATTGTTTTAAAATGGGAAGAGGCAGAGTGTGAACAACACACAAGTGCCATCTATGATGCATTCAACTGAGATACCATGAGAAAAAGAGGGAAGGAAAAAGAGGTGCAGGAGTCATCCTAGTGAAGGTGGCCAGGAAAGGCCTGAGGATGTGACACTGACCTGGCAACTCCTTCCTTCTACCTGTCTGAGTGGAGAGCCCTGCAGATCACAGAAAGAGTACAGACCCGGGGTTGGTGCTTAGTGTGCCCCAGAAGCAGCAAGGATGACAACTAGCAAGAGCTGAGAGTGAAGGAAGGGGAGGAGTGGGTAGGGCCAAAGTGGTCAGGGGAATTTGGCAGCAGAACAGATTGTCTAACTTCTCAGAGTGAGATGGAAAAGCCCACTGGAGCATGTCAGAGGGTGACTAGGAATGGTTCATTGAGAAGAGATGGTGTGGAGGCAGGCATGGAAGAGACCAGTTAAGAGACTTCCTGTAAACCAGGTGGGGGAGTTGATGGGTTAGACTAAGCTGATAGCGAAGGAGGTAGAGAAGTGTTAGGGTCTGAGTCTATTTTGAAGGTGTAAGTACTGAGGTTTGAACAAGGTTTATGAGGATTCCTCAAAGCTTCATGTAGGCTTGGTTGTCAAAGTGATAATGTGAGAAGTGGTTAAACCTTTAAGTAGAGCCCAGTGGCAGGTAACTAGGTCACTGGGGGCATCATTCTCAGAGGGAATTAATGCTGGTCTTGAAATTAGTTCTTGCAAGAACAAGTTATTCTAGGGCCAGCAAGATGGCTCTGGGGATAAAGGCACTTGCTTCCATGTGGAGTTCATGTGGTGAAAGGAGAGAACCCACTGCAGCAAGTTGTCCTGTAACCTCTAAATGCGCACCATGGCCTGTGGGCATCCACATACAAAAAAGAAAAGGCAGCTTTACCTTAAATGAGTTGTTCTAAAAAAATCAAGACTGGATCCTGCTGTCTCCGGTTTCCAGTCTATGCGATCTCTTCTGTATGCACACACGTCTGCTACTGTGACACCATCTGCCAAGGCCTCATCACAGCCAAGCAGATGTGAGCATCAATCTCTTGTACCTCCAAAGCTGGGAATGAAATAAACTTCCTTTCCTTACACACTGCCCTATTAGAAAATAGACCAATACACGTACCTGTAACTAGCATCGTTTTCTGGAATAATTTCAAGGTCCTTGTCTTAATTGGGGGGATGGGGTAGCCTTTATTGAGCGAGGAAAACACTGTAAGTGGAGTTGATGAGTTGTGTCTAGACTTGTGATTAACATGGTTTTAAAGGTCTCAGATGGTTAAAAGGTCTCCTATGGCTGAAAAGCGTTGGGAGACTTGAGGGCATTTTCCTCCAGCGCTCTCTTGGTCCAGATCAGATACATAGTGACAACATACATTAAATGCTCATACATTTGTTTCCTGTGCCAGCTAATCAAAGCCAACAGCAAACCGACATACCCGTAGAAACCTTGAACAGGCAAAGCTTGATTTGATCGCCTGTCTACCAGCAGATCTGAGTTATCGGAGGACTTACTGCGCTGCAAATCTCCAAACCGAGCTCAAGTCTACATCTGTGGATCTATGGTGGCAGCAGCACAACAGTTCCTACACAGTGCCAAGCTAGGCTGGTAAAAACCACACCGGGGCCAATCTGAAACGTGGCTGATTGAAGACCGTGATTAGACACTCACAGGGCAAATTATCTATAAAAGAAGGATGTATCTACAACACCCGTATCTGATGAAACAGTACCTAAAATGGGACACTTATTACAACAAAAGCAAGGAAAGGGGAAGGAAAACAAAACCATTTTAAGTCCTATTCGTGGGAGGGGGAAAAAAGAACAGAAACTGATACGTAGGGATTACTTTGAAAGGCCAGGAAACGATTTTGTGGAAAAAAATAAAACCCGCCCTAAATACAATGCAATCTTGCAAAAAAGCCAAGCCCAGCTTTCCCGCGTCTTGCCCCGCTGACAAGGCCAGCAGAATAGACTAAATCGAAAAGCCACTGCAGGAGTAGAATCCGAACTTGTAAAGCAAGTGAAGTGGAGGCCAGCCTGGGTGACTCAGAGGCGTGACTCAAAGCGGACACCGGGGGCCTGTCTGTCAGCTCCCCCCACAGGGGGCACATCGTCTGGCACATTTCAGTAAAGGACCAGGCTCTGGAGGGCCACAGGAAGCCTCCCCGGACGCCGTCTGGCCAGGCCTTCGCACCCGGGGAACTTCCTCCGCCAGCCCGCTGCCTCGCACGGAGCTCCGCGGCGCGTGCGTGAGCTTGACTGCTTGCCTGCCTGCCTGCCCGCCCGCCTCCGCCCGCTGCTCCCTGCCACGCGCCCACCGCCCCGCCTCGGCGATGAGCCAGTCCCTGCCCCGCTCGCCCGCTGCTGGGATGCGCGCCCAGAGCCGCAGGAGACGAACACCTGTCGGTCCCCGGCTCCGCGAGACTTTGGGGCGCACGCCCAGGCGCCTGGTGGGAGCGCGTTCTCGCGAGGTTTAGGAAATTTCCCACGGCCCGTGTTGTGTCTGAGCCGACCGTGGAAGGAGGTGTAGCGTGAGACTCGTCTGCCCGCATTGCGCACATGCGCAGTCCCTCGCGCGCGCCGCGCCAATCCTGCGGCGCCTGGGAGCGGGTTTCGGGCCGCTGAGTCCACTACTCCGGGTTTTGCGGCTCCCTTTGGGAGGCCGTGCTGGAGCTGGGAATCTCTAGGAAAGTAAAGGCTGGGGAGGGGTAGCGGGGAGGGCAGCAGGTAGGGCAGGGCGGGGCTCGGGCCTGCACCTGGGGGCGATGGGGGGCCCAGCTGGCCGCGGCCTCTGCAAGGGGGCGGCTTGAAGCCTGCTGCGAGTGGGCCAGGCCCACGGGAGGAGCGGCTCCTCTGCAGCACCCCCTGCACTCCTGGCCTCGCGCAGGCTGGTGGCTGCGATGGGTTCCTAGGCGAGGCTGAGCGGGCACCTCGCTCCCCGTCCCAGGGGCTGGCGGTGCGTGCCTAGCCGTGGTGAATGAACCATTGGGCGCTCCGGCGTGCGGGCGCGAGGTGCGCTTCGTGGGGTGCCTTGCCTTTGCCAGAGGCGAGGTGCGCTCCGTGGGGTGCCTTTGCCAGAGGCTGATCTCAGACTGACCTCACTGCATACCCCAGGAACAGCAGCTTGGGAGACAGCTCAGTTCCCAAAGGTTCCTGCTTGCAGAGCTCTGGAAAGGGCCAGGCCACGCTGCTGGCCATGTCGGTCTCACCGCTTGCGTGGGCAGTGATGGGGGAAATAAATGGAGACAGCCCCTCGCTGCTCCCTCGCCCGGACCTCAGTCTGATCTGGGCCATTCCGGCACCTGACACCGAGATTAGCATAAAGGAGGCGTCCAATGAACGTCTGAATGAATGAAAAGGGCTGGGAACCCACAGCTAGCGGGAAGCCACTCGGAGAACACCCACTCGAGGAGGTGTAGCATCTAGGCCTGTGAACGCTCGCATTTTCCCAGGACCCCTCCCCCGGCCCCTCGGCTCCGCCTCCTGACCCCACCAGTCCCAGTCCCCGTAGTAATCCCCTCCGGTTTTCCTCAGTCTCCACGTACGTCCCCGAGGGCGCGTCCCAAAACCCGGATAACCGGAGCGCTCCCCATGGACCACACGGAGGGCTCGCCCGCGGAGGAGCGGCCTGCGCATGCTCCATCGCTGGGGTAGGTTTCCTGGCTGGGCAGCGAGCAGGATCCCCCCAGTCCGCGGGCGGCGCGAGGCGGCTGGCTCCCGGCGGCAGCGGCAGCGAGGGGACAGGCAGCGCGGGGGCTGGGTGGAAGCGAGCCGCGAGGCCGAGGAAGGGGCGGGGGAGCGGAGCAGGGAAAGGCGTCGGGGGAATCTCGCGAGGGTTGGAGTTTTGGCGAGAGTTTGTGGAAGATGGCGCCTGTTGTGACAGGGTAAGTCAGAGGGGGCAGTGGGCGCTGGGAACCGGGAAAGTTGCGGGCGTCTGGCTGCCCGGGGCGGTCGGTGGGTCTGGGCTTCGCGGCGCGCCGGGGTCCGGGAGGCGGTCGGGGCGG